TCTTTGCAGTTTTGTCGGTAACTGTCCTTCTGAGTAGACCTATACCGATGATTGCCTTTTATTTTCTGGATCATATTGATAGGTCCATGTTTCGTCACCAGTAATGATTTCTGAAACACGCCTAGATGCCCGGTTTTCAAAACGTAGACGCACTTCATGGTACTAATCCGCACGAGTCTGTTTCTCGCTATCGGACAGCAAACGAGGGATCCATCAACAACAAAGCTTCCTCACTCCAAGATGTTGACGTAGGATGGTATTGTTACGAGCTTGGGGTTCGAGACAATTAAAAACTGCCGATTGAATTACCAAAATTGACACTTTAATTACACTACACTAATTACAACTTAAAATCACACTAATAATAAAACACAGTTCGCCGTTATTTCGCTTCGAAGTATTCTCTTATATCGCCAATTCAATACTGCCCCGGTCGTGGTCTATACCGGCCTTATATAGGGCCTCAGATAGTTCCCAGAACCTTCTACTGTAGCGACATCTAGAATGTACGAGTACATATCGGCCCCGAAATTTCTGGAAGGATCTCGACTCTCCTAGTTCTGCTACTCGACACTAGAGGGCGCTAGTGTAACTAGTGTTGCCATGTACAAGACATTAATAGTGGCGCGCAATACTTTTATTTACTCGACACTAGGGGGCGCTAGTGTAACTAGTGTTGCCATGTACAAGACATTAATAGTGGCGCGCAACACTGCCCCCTCCTAAGACATGCTCGTCCCGAGCATTATTGGCCCCATAATAACGCGCCAGTCGATCTACATGGACAATCTTAGGAGTACCTCTGGCACCTTTCTGTATCCGGTAGGTTACGTCATTGATCCTTGTCACAATCCGGTACGGTCCGTCCCATTTAGCTTGAAGCTTAGGAGATTTCTCTTTGCTGCGAACTGGATTGTGTAACCACACTAGAGAACCTTCATCAAACCCCTTGTTGTTCATTTTGCGGTCATACCGTGTTTTCATCTTCTCAGACGTTTGCTGGCCCGTCTGTCTGACGTGCTCATAAATGTCATTCATTTTGTTCTGCAAGTCATTTGCATAATCGGTTATACTGCGTGGGGCATCTGGTGGTATTCCGGTGATCAGGTCTGCAGGCAGCCGTAATTCTCTCCCAAAGTTTGCGAAAGCTGGCGTCAATGATGTACTTTCGTGAACAGCGCTTCGATATGACAACAAAAATGGTTGTATGTGCCTGTCCCAGTCTCGTTGCCGTTTTTCCACAACTTTTGCCAGGTACCTTTCCAATGTCTGATTAAATCGTTCTACCATTCCATCAGATTGTGGGTGGTAAGAAGTTGTTCGTGTTTTATGAGTACCCATAACTCTGCAAGTTTCCTGGAATATTTGAGACTCGAAATTCCTTCCTTGATCGCTGTGAATCTCTAAGGGTACTCCAAAACGACAGAAGACTTCATGAACTAGTTTATCTGCAACTGTTGAAGCTTCTTGATTTGGAATGGCGAAGACTTCTGGCCACTTAGTGAAGTAATCCATCACAACCATGAAATACTTGTTACCACTTTCACTTTCCGGAAACGGCCCCGCAACGTCAATGGCTATCCTCTCCCATGGTGCACCAACATTGTACAATTTCAATGAGCCTCTACTACGAATTTGAGGTCCCTTTACAGCCGCACAACTTGTACATTTGCGGCACCAGTCCTCGACATCGTCACGACAGTGGACCCAGTAAAACCGTTCTCGGATCTTCAGGAGAGTTCGTTTAACTCCCAGGTGGCCTCCTGAAGAACTACTATGGTACAGTTGTAGAACATCCGGTACTTTAGCCTTAGGGACAACCATTTGCAAATGACATCTGTCTCGCCGACAATTTTCCCATTTGCGGCACAGGACTCCATCCTGAATCAGCAAGCTGTCCCATTGGGCCCAATAGCTTTTCGTGGTCGAACTCATTGCTGAGACGTCGCTCCACTTGGGCTTAGGAGCACTGGCCTTCATCCATTCCAGAATCGGCTTAATGTCCGAATCTTCCTGCTGTGCATGTTGTAGGCTGTCCTTCCATTCATTGCTGAGCTGGTCTGTCCTGAATATCCTCGCAGATACCACTTCTTTACCCTCTTGCGTAGTACAATGCTTGCAATCTTCAGGGCAAGGTCTTCTTGACAATGCATCTGCATTGCCATTAGATTTCCCGCTGCGATGTTCGATCACAAAGTCGTATTCCTGCAGTAGTTCAATCCATCTCGCAACTTGTCCTTCCGGATTTTTGAACTGCAATAGCCATTTCAGTGCAGCATGGTCAGTTCGTAAGTGAAATTTCCGCCCTAGAAGATATTTGCTAAAATGCTGCAAGGACTTTACCACAGCAAGCAATTCCCGTCTTGTGACACAATAGTTCCTTTCCGGCTTTGACAACGACTTGCTGAAGTACGCTATCACAATCTCTTGATCACCATTCCGTTGAGACAACACACCGCCAAGTCCTATATCACTTGCGTCTGTGTCAACTATGAATTCCTTGCCCGCATCAGGGTACCCCAAAATAGGTGTTTTGCACAGACGGTTCTTGAGCTCCTGGAATGCAATATCGCAACTTTCATCCCAGCAGAAATGTCGCTTCTCCTCGGTTAGCTTGTGCAGAGGTTTGGCTATATCTGCAAAGTTCTTCACAAATCGCCGATAATAAGAGCACAAACCCAAAAATGCTCTAACCTGTGTCTTGTCTTTTGGGACCGGCCACTCCTTGACAGCAGCAATTTTCTCTGGATCCGTGCGGATACCTTCTTCCGACACTACATACCCCAAAAAACTAACTTGCCGTTTGAATAGTGAGCACTTCTTCGGACTCAACTTGAGGTTGGCACTCTGGATCTTCATGAGCACGCGTTCCAGGTTTTGAAGGTGTTCCTCAAACGTACGGCCTACGATGATGATGTCATCCAAATAGACCAGACAGGCATCTCCAATTAGCCCGGTAAGTACGAGCTCCATCAACCTTTCAAACGTTGCTGGAGCATTGCACAATCCAAACGGCATGACTTTGAATTGCCACAGACCCTTTCCTGTGGAGAATGCAGTTTTCTCCTTGTCCTTAGGGTCAATTTCAACCTGCCAGTAGCCACTTTTCAGATCCAGCGTACTAAACCACTTTACGCCTGTAAGCATGTCCAGCGTGTCATCAATTCTTGGCAAGGGATAGCTGTCCTTCTTCGTAACGTCGTTCAGGCGGCGGTAGTCAACACAAAACCGCATGCTGCCGTCCTTCTTCTTTACCAGCACCACCGGTGAACACCATGGACTAGATGAAGGTTCAATAACACCATCCTTCACCATTCCCTCAATCATGGTTTCCACTTCCTTTTCACGTGCTACAGGCAATCTTCTTGGCCGCTGACGAATAGGCAATTCTTGTCCTGTGTTTATTTTGTGTTGAACTAAGCCAGTCTTTCCTATGTCAGCTTCGTTTGACGAGAAAACATTGGCGTACTTGAGTAACAACTTCTTCGCCTTGACCATTTCATTCGGGGAGAGAACGCTGCGACAGTCTTCTAAAAGTGTGGTCACTCTCGTTTGTCCATCCTTGCTAGGGGTCCCGGTCGATAGATATTCGCACCGACGCAACCAATCCACTTCCTCACTAGTACCAACCAATGTGCCTTTTTCTATAATCTGTTCCTGATCACAAAGGTTCAACACACGTACTCCTGAGATGTCGGTGGTTCTGACCAAGGTTCGAGCCACTTTCCATGGAAGGTCATTGTCTACCCTTTCCACGAGTACACAACGATGAGCTTGCCCAGGACTCCGAGGAAGACTAACCGGCACAACCGTTTCCGATCTCGGCGGAAGAACAATCTTCTTAAGGCTGTACACATTCCCTGTTAACGCCCTTTCCACGAAAAGTTCCTCTTGTCCACATTTCAAAACACCTTGCTTAACGTCGATCTCACAACAATTCTTCCTCATAAAGTCTAGGCCCAGGATGCGGTCGTCGATTATATCAGCCACGATGACATTATGCAGGTAGATCATGTTGCCTAGCTTCAACTCCATCTTCTTCTCTCCACGGGCGGGTATGCGCTGACCGGTGGCTGTTACCAAATTAATGCGTTCGCGGTTGTATGCGGAGTCCCCAAGAAACTGATTTATAAGTTGGGAACTGACAACCGTGCGAAAAGCTCCAGTGTCTATGGTCAGTTTACACGGCTTTCCGTTGACCTCGCCCTTGATGATCAGGCTGTTTCCATCACGGGTTTGTGAGATCGAAATCCTTGGGGCTCTTTTAACATCAGCCAGCACCCGCCAGTTTCCCTGCTGCTGCTGGGCGTTGCTGTCAGCCACACTACCCTCTCGACATCGATCACCTTCCCTTTCTACAGTTCGTTTAGGGCAGCTGGATCGAAGATGGCCCCTTTCCCCACAGCCGTAGCACCTAGGGCTGTAGCCCTTATTGCGGTCCTGAACTGTAGCTGCTGCAACCTCCCTGACGCGGTGGGAACGATGATCCTGCCGCACGGCTTCCACCTCCAGTGCATGGGTCAAGGCGTCCTTAAGCGTCTCGTGGTGCCTGAGCCTCACAGCAGCTCTGACTTCAAGGTCGCGGATGCCGTCGATGAATGTCTCTTTCCCGAAAGTAGCGTGAAGGTCCTTCCTGAGGAGCATCTGCTCTTCCATACCGCGCTGCAGCTGCTCTTCCAACCGACGGGTCTGTTCCTCCGGTCGGCGGGCCTGTTCCTCCTGTCGGCAAGCCTGATCCTGCAGCATCATCATCAGAGCACCTAAGTCAGGTGCTGCAGATGCAGGAGCTGCTGACGGGCCGGCCTCCATAGAGTTCTATTTTAAATAAATTCGCTTTTTATAAACATATACATACCAGGGGGCGATACATTTTTAAATTTCGAGCATCTACTCAAGACTTATTGCGTGACCAACGTAACCATAAATTAAGAAAAGTTAGTGTGTAACCGGCTTAATATCGATTTTTGTCTCTTTACACACAGCTGTCAAATGTAAAATTCACACGTTTTCTTGGCGTTGTTTGTCGTCCGGCGTTACATTTTCTACAGTGTATCTTTTGTTTCGTTTCGTCTGTTGTGATGTAAAATGTAACGTTGGACTTGTGTCCGATGCACATCCTTAAATTTTTATCCAATATTGTAAGTATAATTCATAATTATATACAAATAACTATATCACAAAAGAAATTAGCGTATCAATAAATTTCGATTTCCATTAAAGATTTTCGCTTAAAACTCTCGATGTATGAAGCAGTGCTCTATTGAAGGAAGAAAAGTATCTAGCATAATATTTATGTATTTAAAAGAGCATAATGCATTGAACGTACATACTTTTCTCATTATGTATAAAGTTTTTGCGGCCAAGGTCGCAGGCAGCTGAAATTTATGCATGATGTTGAATTAGTTCTGTCCAATTTTTATCAGTAGACTTATGAACTTTATTTGTTTTTAATTGTTTTTTTATCGATACGATGCATAAAAACCGCTGAATGAGGATGTTTTCTTAAATATTTTTTTTTGTTATGAATGAAATTTGACCTTGCTGTCATCGTCTGGCGTAATTCAAGTAATAATTTTATTCGTTTATGAAAATTCACATTCATTCTCATTTGAGAGTTATCATTTAACTGTGTAGTGATAAGAAATGCAATAAAAATATCAAGTGTTTTCAGACCAAAAACAATAAACAAAACATGTAGTTGCAAGCAAAACACCTCTAAAATAATGTTTGCAATAGCCATATTATGGACATCCCTATGACATAGAAGTAGATATTTGCAATAAATGGATTACACTTAGAGATATAACAATGGCTTCACCCACCCATTTGGATTCTGCTAATGAGATACAAGCAAATTTATTCACAGCTTCATACCAGAGCAGAAAGCTCACAACCATTGATTTAGTTGGTGGCATTTACTGCCATATCTGCCACACAATATTTGGAAACAAGAAAGATTATGATGCTCATTATATAAAACATAGCACAGATAGCATGGGCATTGTTTACACATGTGTAATATGTCATAAGAACATTACAGGCTATCCCAGCTTCAGAGGCCACTGTTACACTAGTCATGTAATTAAAGACAAATTCAAGTAAGTAAATAATCCATTGCTATTTAGTTTTTTTTTTTATAGGATAAGGGTGACAAACGAGCACACAGTCCACCTGATGGTAAGTGGTTGCTGCGGCTCATAGACATCTACATCTATCCTCGTTTGTGAATCAAAATGCAGATGCGTTGCCACCCGTGAGGACTAAGATGGAATGCCTTATTTCCAGTAAAAAGGGCCTCCGGCCACCTGCACTCGCCAAGCGAAACGCAGAGGTAAACCTCTACTTCACGCTGGTATTCTGTGAGGTCGTGGTACCAGCCTGGTTCGAGCCGGCCCATCTGTGCGACAGCAAAAGCTGCCGCGTGGCTCTACCACTATTGTTGAATTAGTTCGTATATTTGTTTTTTTTTTGTATAGAATAAGGGTGACAAATGAGCATACAGTCCACCTGATGGTAAGTGGATGCTGTGGCCTATAGACATCTGCATCTATCCTTATTAAGAATCAAAAAGAGAAATGGGTTGCCACCCCTGAGAACTAAGATGGAATACTTTGTTTCTAGTAAAAATAGTCTGGTTTTCTACACTCAATATACGAAACACAGTAGCATTGAGCTGCTATTTTACTCAGGTTTTCTGTGTGAGTGTGGTCCTACCCTGGTTGAGCTGACCCACTCATGCTACAACCATAAGATGGCTGAATAGCTCTACCATGTAAGAAATATGTTTGTTCATTAATTCATAATCAAAACTGCTCTGCTGAAATTAAGTATCCTATTTCATTATTTTAACAGGTGTGATCACTGTGACAAGCAGTTCTCAAAATTGACAGTCCTGAAAGATCATATTGATATTAAGCACAAGTTTAAATGCACCTCATGCAGTAAAGAGTAAGTGTTATTTTAATTACTATGATTTTATCTTGTTTTCTATAAATATTTATAATAATTATAGTATAAATATATATGAATGGAGAAGCAAAATTATTAACTATAGATTTGCTATCATTTCTGGGTCACACTCTGGATGTTTGAGTCTGTTAAATTTTTGTGTAGTTATTTTGCCATTGATGAGATACCTAAATTATATCCTGATATTTCCTTAACCCTTTCACTGTCCTGTGTTCTACATATAGGTCATTGCTATTGTCCTACTATTATGTCTGAATTTTTTTTACATTTCGATCAAAATGTACATTCAGTGAGTGTTTCAGTGATGATATATGGGTCTGAAATCTTGCCTTTACTGCTGGCCATATGAGGAAGCTCAAAGCTGCTCGGTGAGCTATTTAGAGGGCTATGCTTGGAGATTCTGTATGATAGACTTTCTAACGAGGGTATCTGCAATGGAACCAGAATAACTGACATAGCCCAACTGATTATTAAGCTGAAGCAAAAATGGGTCGGAATATAGCTCTAAGAACCGAAGACCAATGGAAAAGAAAAGTTCTAAAGTATCAGCCTCATATCAGTAAGCAATGAAAAAAACTTCCTACAATCAAGAAGTTGATTGAAGGAAGTTGATGCAGGTGGCTCAGGACCTTGCCGAAGGAGGCCTATGTTCAGCAGTGAACTTGTGAAAGGCTGTAATGATGATGATGATAATTATTGTATTTCAATGAATACATTTGTTCTTTTGATACAAATTACACTATTATAGGCTTTCATTGTGTTAAGTTAACACACATTATTATTATTACAGCTTTATTATCCACTTAACAATTTTTACAAATATATTATATCTAATTATAATAATTTCCTTATGACCCACTGCTGGCCGGATGAGGAAGCTCAAGGTCGATCAGCGAGCTATGGAGAGGGCTATGCTCGGAGTTTCTTTGCGTAATAAACTTAGAAATGAGTATATCCGCAGTAGAACCAGAGTAACCGACATAGCCCAACGGATTCGTAAGCTGAAGTGGCAGTGGGCCGGCCATATAGCTCGAAGAACCAACAACCGATGGGGAAGAAAGGTTCTCGAGTGGCAGCCTCGTACCGGCAGGCGAAGTGTAGGGCGTCCCCCCACTAGATGGAGTGACGACCTGGTAAGATATGCAGGAAGTCGATGGATGCAGGTGGCTCAGGACCGTGCTTTGTGGCATTCTTTGGGGGAGGCCTATGGTCAGCAGTGGACTTGTGAAGGGCTGTAATGATGATAATAATTTCCTTCCTATTTTTTTTTGTTATGTGGCCTCCCTGTGAGTAAAAGCCTCCTCCATGCTTTTCCATCTTTCCCTGTCTTTGGCCGCATGCATCCAACTATTTCCCGCTGTGTTTATTATGTCATCGGACCATCTTTTCTTCTGTCTTCTCACGTTTCTTTTGCCTTTTGGGCCCTGCCATTTAGTTATTTGGTAAGTCCATCTCTTATCTTTGTATCTCGACAAGTGCCCTGCCCAGTTCCATTTCTGTTTCAAACTAAAATGTAAGTGTCTGTTAATTTTGTTTTCATGTGGATGTCTGCATTTCTCGTTTTTTGTATTTTTCTCAGTTTCAGTACACTACGTTCCATTGCATGTTGACAAGATGAAATTTTGTTTTTTACTTTTTCGGTGAAGACCCAGTTAACACACATAAGGAGTTACAACACTGTTAAATTAGTATTTTTATACTATGTAAATCAATAATTTAAGTCCCTAGTCATTCTGACCATCTATGATGGGGCTGTGGTTTCATCTTATTGATATGTACTTTTAGATTAGGCTGTTTTAATAATATTTTTGCAATGCAGTTATTTTTGCTTCTTTTTTTTACTTAACAAGGGTGACAAACAAGCACACAGTCCAGATCTATCCTTAATTACTAATGAAAATTCAGGTGCATTGTCACCCGTGAGGATTAAGATGGAATAACTCATTTCCAGTAAAAAGGGTCTCCGGTTCTCTACACACCATACGAAACACAGTAGCAGTAAAGTGCTATTTTATGCTGGTATTTTGTGAGAGCATGGTCTTTCACCAGTTCAGTAGACCCATTCATGCTACAACTATATAGCTACAGCGTGGCTCTACCACATATATGCTTTTCACTTGTGCACTAATCTATTTATTGTATAATTGTTTTATTTTCTCCAGATTCCAATCAAAGAAAGAGATGCAGATACATCAGATTATACACAACAATAGTGACAATCCTCCTTACAATTGTCAGTCATGTGAGAGGCAAATCAACAGTCTCGATGGTTGTGAATATCATATTGAACTGCACACCTCCTTCACATACCCCTGCCCTATATGTGGTGAAGCTATAAAAAACAAGCAATCGGCTGTTGAGCACCTCAAACAACATTTCGGCGATGAAATCCAAGATGAAATAATTTCGGAAGTTGAGGAAGCACCTGATGATGATTTTATAGAGAAGCTTGGCGGAATATTTTGCTGTATTTGCTCCACTGTGCATAGGAACCGGGTTAATTTCGATGCACACTTTTCACTGAAACACGGGTGTCAGGATATAGTGTATACATGTAATGAATGCAAAAAGCAATTTGACAAGTATTCAGTTTTCGGAAATCACTGCTACAATCACTTTATGAAAAACAGATTTGAGTAAGTAGTTTTCTTGTTTCAAAAAAATTAAGTGACATCCTCAAGGTGAAAGCACCGGGGTAACCTGCGAAATTCAAATTTTCTTATGTTTATTGCAATTTGTAGGTCAGTGTCAGATTGTATGTTTAATAAAATATTCGCGAAAATTTTAATAAAATTCGCGACCGTAACGAGTATGTAATTACAGAATTATAATCATTATAATCATCAATACAACCATCTATGTTCGTATAATCCCATTGTATGGCTATTTCCAGAAAAACTCATTCAAAGGGATTATATGTACTTAGAGGGTTGTATTGTTGATTTTAATGATAGTTCTATAAACACATACTAGATACGGTCGCGAATCATATTTCATTAAACATACAACCTGACCCTGACCTGCACATTCCAAAAAATGCAAGAAAATTTGAATTTCACGGGCCACCCTGGAGCTTTTACCTTAACTCCTTTTAACAAAAAATTAAAACGAAATTTCGGTATTTTGCAGAAACAGGTGTTTATTTCCACAAAGTATATCAATTTATATTATATTTTTATAGAACAGTGGCATCTCTTAAATTTGGAAAGAATTTCTATAATTGTCACACTTGTGTGTCCTTCCCCGGTCGAGCTGACCCATTCGTGCTACATCTATACTATTAATATAGCTGCAGCATGGCTCTGTTTGTTCATTTCCCTTCCCCATCCAATATAATATAATATTATTTTACTTATTAACAAAGTATAAAAATTAAAGCGACAGTAGATTAATAGTGAGTGAGGATGGAGAACTCAAAGGTTTGATTCTAAACTGAAATTCTACTATTGTCGTGAAACACTGACGACCCCAGCATCTTAAGCCTGCTGGTTATTGGGAATATTAGAGAGACAGCTAGTAATAAATAAAAAAAAACTAAGAGGATAAATGAGGTGATACAATCTGTTACAGCGCCACTGCCATTATTAAATGAGAATTTGTTTTACAGGTGTGATCAATGTTGCAAAGCGTTTCCGCGTCTGTCGCTACTCGCAACCCATACAGAGGCATACCATGGTAACGGTTTGTCTGCGACAAAGCCATTCACGTGTATGCGGTGCGGCCACCGCGTCGGCACTCAGAAAGCGCTGCGGGCGCACCTACGGGAGCAACACAACATTACCTGTGTGCAGTGCCCGCAGGAGGGATGCGAGAGAATGTGAGTTTCTTACTAATCATGTGTAACTGAAGCCCTTACAATTTTTATATTACACTAGTGATCAGCCACGGCTTCACACGTGTGATTTCTGGATCTCTACAAAAGCGCCACGCACGCACGCACGCACCCACACACACAAAACTTTATCAATACACAAAAATTTATTGATAAAGTTTATCTTATACATAAGATTTCATATTTTGGCACACTTATTTTGCTTTGAATAGTTTTGAAACAATTTTATGTAAGCATAGTTGAAAATAATAGAATAATTTTTTATTCAATATAGATCACATGTATGTAATTCTTATTGAAAGTGATTTTTACTTTACCACTGTTTCCGAAAAAAACCTCTGCCCTGGGAAGAACCTGCACAAAACCAAGCTTTATAAAAAGGTTGTACAAACTATTTACATTTATTTTAGAAACAGTTTGGAAGTGATTGCCTCATTCCCTGGGGTTATTATCAATAATGTATTCATTTATGTTATGATAATTCTTTTTACACAGTTTTTGTTTATTAAAATATTTAAACTTGGTAATAGAGAGACCTTGTGTATTTTATAGGAATTTGTTATAATATCGTATACATTGCCCCAAACAGGTTGAGTTAGCAGAATACTTTCTGGCACGACCACGGCAAATACGCGGACTTATAACTAATGATACAATTTTCGAATTACGCGGTCACTATTTAGTACATTTGAGACAAAAAATTTAAATTGTAGGAAAAAGTAATGACTAATACAGGGATGATAATAATGATACATTAGTAGCATATGTGCAATAAATACTAATAGTGGGTCAACTCCTTTGTTATACCGCAAAATACCTACAAAACTGTTTTGACATAATATGCTATGCTGACAAAGAAGCAGTGTTACGTTTTGTTATTAAGTAGAAAATTAGACAAAACAGTTTTAATAGATTTGAGAGTGATATAAACTGTACAATTTTACTTAAGTAGCTATATGCTATTATGTGGTCAATATTAATTTGCATTGACTAAGTTATTGTGTATATTATAACACAAAGAGTGAAGATTATCACGTTATTATTTAAAAAAATATTCTATCATAAGTGTTTAAACGCAGTGATTCAACGCAACACGTAACCGCCACGATCTGCACGGCGCTTAAGACCTTCTTCTCGCAGTCTTTTGTGCCCAACGCATTGTGCACTATGAACGGACTGGTTGCCGGGTGAAATTTGTTTATTTACCCATCCGTGTTTGATAACAAAATTATTGCGATGTCTCCTAAAAATAAATGCGCTGGATGTTGTCCCTTCTTGGAGAAAAATATTGCGTCCATGCAATGTGGTCAGAGCAAAGATAAGTATCACACTGTGTGTGCGAATATAGACGATGAAAAATTCAACATGTTTACAAAGGAATGTAAGGGGTCGCCCGCATCATACGAAAATATAACACGCCGCACGAAGGTGACAACACGATAAAAGACTTCATTTCAGAGGAGTTCTCAAGCATTAAACAAGAGATCTCTAATTTTAATGATTCATTGAACTTTTTAATGGTTGTTTCGAAAACTTAAAGAAAGAAATGGTGGAAAAAACGGCAACGATTAAGAATCTCCTAACAGAAAATGCTAACCTACAGTGCACAGTAAGCAATCTTTCAAATAGGATGGGGACTCTTGAACAAGTCCTAAAAGAGAGTAATATGGAAATAAATGGAATACCCGAAAGAAAATCTGAAAATTTGATTAATATTATAACACAAGTAGCTAATCCTGCTGACCATGAACTGTTGGTAGAAGACATATTGCATGTGACAAGGGTCGCAAAGCGCAACCCAAAAACTGATCGAGCCCGCACAGTAGTAGTATAGCTGCGCAGCATGCGGCAGCGTGACGCACTGTTGGCCGCGGTCGATACTCACTACAAAAAGAACCCAACCAACAAGCTCAGCACTTCACACTTAGGCTTTGAAGGACCAAGCACTCCCGTATTTGTAGCTGAATATCTTTCACCCAGCAATAAATCGCTGCATGCCGTCGCACGTAAGAAAAAAAGAGAATTGGGATACAAGTATGTTTGGGTACGCAACGGGCGCATATACATGCGAAAGGATGACTTTAGCCAGGCCTTACTTATTCGGAATATGAACTGTCTAAACAACGTGAAGTAGGTTTTTTCTTGTATTTCATCTTCTTGTTTTCAATGTATAAGGAATCTAGAGAAATATTTTTATGGACATATCAAAATTTAAGAGGTCTTAGAACCAAAACTAACAATGTTTTGGTAAATATCCTACATACAAATTATAAAGTTCTTGTATTTACGGAAACCTGGCTAAATACAGGTGTGAATAATAGTGAGTTCATAGATAATAGATATTGTGTTTATCGTAGAGATTGGTGCTCTACCTCTAGTCATAAGTGCGATGGCGGAGGAGTAATGATCGCAGTATCCAATGACATTCAGTCCATTTGAGTTACAAGCTGGGAATCTGACTGCTTAGATCGGTGGCTCGTTCTTAATATTAAAACTAATAACACTATTTTTAAAATTGCTTTGGGTTGTCTATCTTCCTCCTCCAGTCAATTTAGATTTATGTTCAAAATTTTTACACAATAGCAGTAGTATTTTTAACTGTGTAGATGATGTCATAATATTAGGTGATTTCAACCTAGGTCATATCTCCTGGTCCAGTCAAAAAAATTGTAGTCGCAGCAGCTTTTGCTGTTGCACGGATGGGCCGGCTCGAGCCGGGTTAGTACCACGACTTCACAGAATACCAGCGTGAAGTGGAAGCTCTGCTTCCGCATTTCGTCTGGTGAGTGCAGGTGACCGGAGGCCCAATTCCCCCCCCCCCCCCCCATCAATATGGTAGCGGAATTACATCATAATCTACCCCTGAAGAATCCCTCGCTGAGCATCCACGACCATGCTATTCCACTCCTGAGCGTGGGTGCTCAGGCTGCCTCGCGTATTCTGGGGGGGGGGGGGCAAAATTCCGCTCAACACAATAACTGCTCAGGGCAAACAGCAACAAGACCAAGGCGACCCCTGACACACTATCCGTGAATTTCTGCAACATCAGGGGACTTCACTCGAACCTAAACGCCGTCCACTACCATCTCGAGACGGCGAAGCCTGCCTTGCTCTTTCTGATCGAGACGCAGGTGTCCTCTCCGGCTGATACTTCATATCTCTCCTACCCGGGGTACAAATTGGAGCACTCCTTTGTGCCTCCTTGTGGCTGGAGTTTGCGTGTATGTAAGAGAGGACATCTGTTCTCGACTCCTCGACAGTCTTGAAGGTTCGGACCTGTCCATCCTTTGGCTACGCGTAGACAGCGACGACCATCCGCGCGTCTACGTATGCCTCTATAGGTCCCATAGCGGTAATGCCGAAACAGACCGACACATCGATCACGTCCAAATGGCTACAGATTCCTTGCTACCACAGGTCCCATCCGCAGAGATCGTGATCCTTGGCGATTTTAACGCCCACCACGCCGAATGGCTCGGTTCACGTTTAACCGATCATGCGGGGAGATCTGTTTATGACTTTGCCTTGGCATATGGTCTGACACAACTGGTTACATCGCCTACGCGGATTCCAGATGTTGAGGATCATACACTTTCCTTGTTGGACCTTCTGCTGACCTCTCATCCGGACGGATATCAGGTTTCCGTCGATACCCCTCTTGGCTCTTCGGACCATTGTCACTCACGCTCCCCTCGCGGTTGCGTTCTGCAGGTTACCGCCGTGTTTGGCATTACAGGTCGGCGGATTGGGACGGAATGCGGTCTTTCTTTGCTTCCTACCCACGGGGGCGGGTTTGCTTCTCCCGGATGATCCCAGCGCTGTTGCTGACTCTGTCTCTGATGTGGTGCTACAGGGAATGGAACTATTTATTCCATCATCTGTGGTACCCATCGGAGGCAGATCTTAGCCTTGGTTTGTTGGCTTCTGTAAGACTGCAATACGCAGTAAGCAGGAGTGTTATCAAGCCTGGGCTGTGGCTTCGGCGACTCGGGAACCCGTGCATTCTGGTCTCTCGCCAAGGCTGTCCAAGGGAACTTCTGTCAGCCATCTCTTCCATCTCTGCACAGGGAGGACGACTCACTGGCCCATGCCGCAAAGGAGAAAGCCGATCTGTTGAGCTCTCTTTTTGCGTCCAACTCGACTCTAGATGACGGGGGGAATACACCGCCGACCATCCCGCGATGTGAGTGCTCCATGCCGGATGTGCGATTTACACAGCGCTCGGTTCGCAAAGCACTCTTCTCCCTGGACGTCAGCAAGTCGAGTGGGCTCGATGGAGTCCTTCCCATTGTGCTGAAGACGTGTGCTCCGGAGTTGGCACCGGTTTTAACGCGTCTTTTCCGGTACTCCTACTCCCAAGGCGTAGTCCCGAATTCATGGAAGACAGCTTTGGTCCACCCGATCCCTAAAAAAGGCGACCGCTCAGACCCGTCCAACTACAGGCCTATTGCCATCACCTCCTTGTTCTCCAAAATAATGGAATCCATTATAAACTGCCAGCTCATGAGGTACCTTGAGGATCATCAGCTGATTAGTGACCGCCAGTACGGTTTTCGTTGAGGTCGATCAGCTGGTGATCTTCTAGTCTATTTGACTCATAGATGGGCGGAGGCAGTAGAGTCCAAGGGGGAGGCATTGGCCGTTAGTTTGGACATAGCGAAGGCCTTCGATCGGGTCTGGCACAAAGCGCTTCTTTCGAAGCTTCCTTCCTATGGGCTTCCCGAGAAATTGTGCAAATGGATCACCAGTTTCCTTGCTGATCGGAGTATCAAGGTCGTAGTAGACGGTGCATGCTCTGATTTCAAGCCTATCAACGCTGGTGTTCCACAAGGCTGCGTGCTATCACCAACGCTGTTTCTCCTGCATATCAATGATATGTTGCTAACTTTTTTCAGCATTTTTTTTTGTTGTAGCATTCATTGCTATGCGGACGACAGCACTGGTGATGCCTTATATACCGGCCGTGCCAACATTTCTCGGGAAAACGTCGCTGAGTACCGGGACAAAATTGTGTCTGAAGTCGAGTCTTTGCTTAACAAAGTCTCGGATTGGGGCCGACTAAATCTAGTCCAGTTCAACCCCCAGAAGACACAAGTTTGCGCGTTTACCGCTAAAAAGAACCCCTTTGTCGTATCTCCTCAGTTTCAAGGCACTCCCCTTGCTGCCTCAGCTAGTATCGGAATCCTTGGCGTCGACATATCGAATAGTGTGCAGTTTCGTGGTCACTTGGAAGGGAAGACCAAATTGGCCTCTAAAAAGCTTGGCGTGCTCAGCAGAGCGAGACAGTATTTCATGCCGGCACATCGCTTACAACTTTACAAAGCGCAAGTTCGGCCCCACATGGAATACTGTTCTCATCTCTGGGCCGGGGCACCCCAGTGCCAGCTCCTTCCACTTGACCGCATCCAGCGCAGAGCGGTTCGAATCGTCGACGACCGAGTTCTTTCTGATCGGCTCGATACACTGGCACTACGGAGAGATGTGGCATCTCTTTGCGTATTTTATCGCATCTATCACGGGGAGTGCTCTGAGGAATTGTTCGGACTAATTCCAGCCGCTCAATTTCACCATCGCACATCGCGACAAAACTCACGTTACCATCCATACCATCTGGATGATTGGCGGTCCACCACTGTGCGATTTAGAAGAAGTTTTCTCCCTCGCACAACTTCTTTGTGGAATCAATTACCACCAGCGAATTTTCCGGACCGATACGACTTAGGAACCTTCAAGAAAAGAGCTTACACCTTTCTAAAAGGCCGGCAACGCATCTGCAATTCCCCTGGTGTTGCAGTTGTTCATGGGCGGCGGTAGTCACTTACCATCAGGTGAGCCGCATGCTCGTTTGCCCCCTCTTCTATAAAAAAAAAAAAACGTACTACGCAGAATCTGGCGTACCTCAGGGTTCCCATCTGGGACCAATATTGTTCTCGCTCTTTATAAATGATGTCACGAGTACGCTAAAGGCAAGCTACGCTTCTTTGTTTGCAGACGACCTGAAGCTCTCGAGAGTGATATCAACAAATTTTGACTCTACTTCTGCAAGATGATCTTGACCGACTGGAAGATAGGTGTAAGGCAAACTATATGATGTTAAATCCCAAAAAATGTTTCTATTTCAAGTTTACTAAGAAAAAGAAGCCTTGCACTTTTTATTACCGCCTATAGTCTTAAGGGTACTATGCTCACAGAAGTAGGTGAAATGAGAGATCTAGGTGTTATGTTGGACATGAAACTCACCTACGTTCCTCATATTAATAGGATGATAAAGAAAGCTGCGTAGATGCTAGGCTTCCCTAAATGAATGAATATACATTTATTGTACACCACGAACAAATATACAAATGTCAAAACAAAAATCAGATTATAATATGTACAATTTGGCGGCCTTATCGCTACATAGCGATCTCTTCCAGGCAACCAAAGGTGTAAAGTAATACAAATAATGAATAGGCAGGTGGTATGTGGTGCAATATAAATATACTGAATATAAATGCAAAAAAAGATATAAATAACTAAGTAATACATGAAATAATATAAATTACTAACACATAATAAAAGATAAAGTAAAACATATAATATATACATATACATACATACATACATACATACATACATATATATATATATATATATATATAAACATATATACATAAATATACACACAACACATATATATCAATATACATATATATACAAAATTCCTCAAACAATAATATAAAGCTGATAGATACAATAAATACTTAAGCACACAATCTATCCTAACGGTGTCCGAACGATTGAGACAAGTAATGCTCTTTAATTAATCGTTTAAAGATAACAATAGTTTGTGCCTCACGTATATGCAAAGGTAGGGCATTCCAGAGCTTAATAGACTAGACAGTAAAAGATTTATTGAAAAATGATGTATTGTGAGTTAGCACACTTAAAATGAATTTTCTAGAAGAGCGTAAAGGTTCCCCCGGAAGCCCCACAAAATTAAACTTCTCCTTTTAGATAGGGAGGAGT